AATACTTCTTTCCCTTTGTAAACAGTTTTTAGAATCATGAGTTTATTCCCTAGCATCCTATCTAATTGACCAATGAAGGTTTTTTTCTTTGTATCATTGTGGATTGATGGATTTTTAAAGCATATTTGGTATTTTTTCAGCTGATTGCAGTTGTTAATCTTTTTGACGCTGAAGTTGTCCTTTTGTGTAAGGAGTCCCTTTATACTGGCCTCTAGGTTTTGTTTGCAATGCCAGTAATCTTTCATAGCTTCCTTGCTTTCTTGGATGACAAGCTGTTCCAGGCTTCTTTTCTATACATTGCCTTCCCTGAGTCAGGAGTCAGCTGTTTTTTCAAGGAGTCTTGCTTCTTTTTTATGGTAAATGGCACCCAGAGACCACAACTTGAGCTCTAGGGATGCTTACTTGGTTAGTTTTTACTGGTAGCCATTTTTAGTGGCTAGAGCTCAGAAAAGTTTCTGAAGAGGAAATAAGAATTAATTATGATAATTCCAGTACAAATTTATGATAACAGAATATTTACATTTTTGAATTTATATTCATGTATCTTTTCTCTTATGCTGAAATTGTGGTTCCAGAATAGAAATAACAACATCACTCCCAATAATACTACTACTAGAAAGATTTTAAGGTTTTTTGCGGGGGAGATTCCCTTGCATTTAGGAAATGTACAGGTAAGTTGCTGAGTGATAAATTTCCTGAGTATACTTTCTTTGTAGTTAAATTGCCAACTCAATATTATACTTAGGTTCATTTATTTCGTTTTGCTTTTGTTTTTAGAGATTGTACTTTAATTTTCTTTTATAATCATGTAAGACATTTACATGGTTCCAAAGTAAAAAACATAAAACAAAGCAAAATCAGAGAAATTTAGCTTCACTTTCTGCTTGCTGCACTCTTCTTGTATCATTTTTAAAAAGCTTTTGATTTTTCTCTCTACTTAATAGTACATATAAATATATTTATATTCACCCCACCCCCTTTTTGTGCTGCTGGGGATTGAACCCGGGCTTTTTGTACTAAGCTGCAGCCCTATCCACCTTTTTTAGTTTATTTATTTATTTATTTTGGTACCAGGGATCAAACTCAGATCCTTCCGCTTGTGGGGCAGGTACCGGAACCACTGAGCTAAATCCCCGACCCCCCCTTTTTTAGTTTAAAGATACCATACTCTATATTATTTGGTACAATATCAATCAGTACATCTTGAGGATTACTCTGGAGCAATATATAGAGACAGATTTCATATTTTATAGCTGTATAGTACTCCATGATGTGGAAATATCATAATTTAGTCAAGCAGTCCCCTTTTGAAGGGTATGTGATTGGTTTTAGGCTTTTGCTGTTGCAAGTGGCACTACAGTGAATAGCCTTTTATGTATTTGTTCTGTTTTGCCAATGTATCTAAGTTTAGAATCCTAAAAGTAGTATTATTGAGTCAAAGGGTAGATGTATGTGTGATTTTCCTTGATATTGCCAATTCCCCTTCATAGGGGTTTTGTTTTGCATTCCCAACAGTAGCATGCACAATGTCTGTTTCTTCATAACCTAAAAATTTAGGTTTTTGGTCATCTGATAGATGTGACACAGTATCTCACATAACATGTAATTTGTGTATCTCTTATTGTAGTTGAGTGATTTTTCCCCTTGCTTACGAGCCATTTGCATTTCTTTTTCTGTGGATTTTTCATATTTCTTGTCCATTTTTCTATAGGGTTGTTGGTCAATGTGTTTATCATTTGTTTTTTTCTCAACTTCTTTTGTGTAATCAGATTTGTTGATTACTCTTTTTATTCTGGTTTGTAGCTTATATGTTTAAAGATCTATATTAGCTGTTGTGTTGGGAAGACACAGGGATTGGGCTGGGAGAGGCAAAGGCAAAAACAGGCCAGTTTGAAGATAATGTAATAATCCATATTTGGTAGATGTAAAGGCAGTTCTGAATATCTTTTGGAGGATCTGTTAATGATGTTGGGCATGAGAGAGAAGAATCAGGACACCTCCTAAGTTTCTAGCCTATTAGAATTCAGTTGCTCTCAACTGAGGAGGGATTGAAGGTTGGGTAGGTTTGGCAGAAGATCAAAAGTTTGATTTTGGCCTCTTAAAGTTTGAGATACATAGTGGATATCCAGGTGGAGATGTCAAGTAGAAATTTGGTGAGTCTGTAATTTTAGAGAATATTTAAGGAAAGAAATAGTTATTTGAGAGCAAAGTGGGAGGTATCACAATTGCACATTTGAAGTTATATTACAAAGCTACAGTGATAAAAATAGCATGCTACTGGCACAAAAACAGACATGTTGATCAATGGAACAAAATAGAAGATGCAGACATAACTCCAAGCACATTCAACTATTTGATCTTTGACAAAGGAACCAAAAACATACACTGGAGGTAGCCTCTTTAATAAATGGTGCTGGAAAAACTGGCTATCCATATGCCAAAGTTTGAATCTAGAATCTAGACCCATATTTTTTTTATCATGTACTAAATTAAAATAAAAATGGATCAAAGATCTAAAAGTTAACGCTGAACCACTTTTCTGCTGGAAGTCATAGGAGTAGGCAAGGACGTTCTGAACAGAACACTGGTTGCACAGGAAATAGTACCAACAATCAACAAATGGGATCATATCAAATTAAAAAGCTTCTGCACAGCAAAGGAAACAACCAACAGAGTAAAGAGACAACCTACAGAATGGGAAAATAATTTTGTCAGCTATTCTTCAGACAGAGAACTAACATCTAGAATATATAAAGAACTAAAAAATAATTAGAGCCCCTCCTTAAATGAAAGACCAGGCCGGGGGATTTAGCTCAGTGGTTCCACCGCCTTCCTCACAAGTGCAAGGTCACAAGTTTGATCCTCAGTACCAAAGAAAGAAAGAAAGAAAGAAAGACCAACAGTATTGAAAAATGGGCAAATAAAATGAGTAGTCACTTCTTTGAGGAAGTATGGATGGCAAATAAATATATGAAAAAAATAAATGTGCAACACCATTGGCCATTAGAGAAATGCAAATTAAATCAACATTGAGATTCCATCTTACCCCAAAAAGAATGACCATTATCAAGAAATCAAATAATAACAAATGCTGGCAAGACATTAGGGGAAAAAGGAACCCTTCTACATTATTAGTGGGAATGTAAAGTAGTACAGCCGGTATGGAAATAAGTATGGGAATCCATCAAAAAACTAAAAATAGAAATTCCATTTGACCCAGCTATTCCCCATCTAGATATCTTCCTAAAAGAGGTAGAGTTATCATATTATAGGAATACATACATATCCATGTTTACAGCAGCACAGTTTATAATAACTAAATCTTGGAAGCAGCCTGTATGTCCATTGACAGATGAATGGATAAAGAAAATGTGGTATTTACACATCAATGAAGTACTACTCTGTTATAAAGAAGGGTAAACGAGTTATTTGTAAGGAAATGGAAGCATCTTGAGACTATAGGTTAAGGGAAATAAATTACCTATTGTAGGTATGTATGTATGGGATAAAAACATAGCATAGTCTTAGCTTCTGAGACACATTATGTGAAATGTGTTGTTAGATAATTTTGTTGTCCAAATATAGAATGTACACAAACTGAGGTGGCTGTAATGTCACCGGGTGATGTAATCATCTGGAACCACCATGCTATACACAGTCCATCACTGCCTGGAAATGTCATTGTGTGGCACCCGATTGTATATTTAGGTCCAGTACTGTGTGCATGGTTTCAGGCCTCCACTGAGGTCTTGGACATTTCCTCCATGGATAGAGAGGAGCTACTGCATTCTCTTCTGATTTTTCTTCTGATTTCCCAGTTAAATTTATAGAGTATCATTTGATAAATTTGATTCACCAGTCTGTTAAAAAGATAGTTTTAGTTACATTTTTAGAAATAAGTGAGTTTCAGAATTCTCTTGATTTCTCAGTTTAATTTGGCTGTGATCAAAAGTACAATGGGGTTGAACCTATTCATTGTAGATTTTAAAACCTCATATTGATTTATTTAAAAAGATTAAGTATGGACAGTTTCTGATATCCACAAAATAAAAGAGTAGTGCAAGCCCCAGGTACTTATGATCTACCACCTTGATTGATTAATTTAGAGAACTAAATGATCTTTCAGAAGATGTGGAATTTAATTCATTACTGAATAAGAGTTGAAGGTTCTGATATAATCACAACTTAATCAGAATTTCTTTATTATTTTATTCATTCATGCAACAAAATTTATTGAGGGTCTGATTTGTTCATTAGTGCCTAGTGGTTAACAACCTTGAATGAGTGCAAATTCTAGCTCTGTTGCTTGCTAGCTGTGTGGCCTACAAGCAAATTAAAATAGTCTAAGCTTGTTTCCACATTGACAAAATTGGCTTAATGCCCAAATCTACCTCATAGGCATGTTATAAGGATTAAGTGAGATACATTGGCATTCATAATAAATATTAACTTCTGTTGCTGTAAATACCCTCTTTTCCCTTGTTAGTATCTTTGTCATCCATATTTTGTGCTAACTGCAGTTGGATAGTGTGAAAGGATAAAGATGGGGAGTTTGACCTCAAAGAACTAGAATTCTAGAATCACATGATATTAGAGCTAGGAGGGATCTTCCATATTATCGAGTTTGATAAGCCCTAAAAAGTTGAGTAAATCATTGAGGATCACATAGCTAGCTGTTGGTGGCAAAGCCAGGCCAAAGTTCAGGCACCCTCACTATGAGTACTGTCCTATAGAATGACTGTTTTGCTGCTATGTCCAACTCTTTCCCCTTCCTTAAACCTTTGTCATTCTCAGTTTAGAGTCCTGGCCTGCATGTTTTTCAGTCCTCTGCCTTTTCAGTGCAAGCACTGGAGAATATGAGAGGCTTTCTGGACACATCAGATCTGAACATGTCCCTGGGTCCTCCCTCCTTCAGATTCCAAGGAAGACATTGTAGAGAAGTGGACAAATTATCTCTCTATGTGTTATCATAAATATGTTTTTACCTTCTTGTATCACAGCCCAGGAGTTAAAGTCACTGTTTGAAAAAAAATCCCTCAAAGAGAAACCTCCAAGTTCTGGAAAGCAGTCCATATTATCTGTCCGTCTGGAGCAGTGCCCTCTGCAGCTGAATAATCCCTTTAATGAGTATTCCAAATTCGATGGCAAGGTAAGTTTAAAAAATGAGACTATTCCTTTAAATACAACACTACAATTGAGTTGGTTCTTGTTAGACTTAGGATTTAAAAAGTGCCTCAGTAATTATAGAATGTCATATTTTCTAAGACTGTAGATATGAAAAAGTAAGAATTTGGGCCCAGTGTTGTTTGCACAATATATATTTGGGAGGATCAAAACAAAACAATCCTGAGATCTCTCTATATACTTGTAGATATTATATATTTTTAAGAGAGGGAGAACTACATATTTATTTGTTTTATCTCTTAAGTATACTTTAGAGTTTGGGCCAGTTGGGTTGTGATTAATCAAGGTCTAATTGTGTTGGGAAAACTTGAAAATGGTTCTAGGAGGCAGTTTGCGTCATTTTGTTTAATTATTATAACTGCAGAAATTGTTGAGGTTTAAACTTCCTTTTATATTTCATGGTGGTGGAGGGTCTTGTTTTGACAGTCACCATGTAAGATGACTTTATTTTTCTCTTGTTTGTTCTACTAATTTGTTATTATAAAATTATAGTACATTCATTTTCCTTTTAGAAAAATGGCCACTGTTTCAGGAGGAGCCTTGTTTCATATGCGGCTCCTCCTTCCTCCCCGTTCGCTGCTGTTCTGTCTCTGTGCTGAGATGAGTGGGGCCTTTTTCAGGAGACAGTAGCAGTTGATTTTTATATTTATTGCCATTATGTTTGCTGCCTGGCAGTGGTGTGTGGGTGCCTAAATGATCATTTGCTGCCTAGAGGGGTCCTGTACAATTTGTCTTATTTGAACACCATTGCAATTAACAAACACACAGCTCTTTGCTTATGTTTGCATTTTTCTTATTCGTGTGCTGGTTCTGTCAGTTGTCATCTTTAAGCAAAGAGACGTTTTCTCTTCTAAACATTTTACCTCATACAATTTAGCTTGCTTCCATAGGTTGAAGTAAACATATATGGTAAGGTTGATGTTTGTGGGGAAAGAGCAAGAACCAGAAGCAAATAGCATAGAAAACAAAGATCTTATGCTCAGAAATTTCCTCCAGAAAACATCTGAAAGCTTCTATATTATATTGCTCTGAAACTTCTCTTCAGCCTGCCTGTGCTGCCTACTCCTGTCCTTCTGTGGAATGAAGCAAGAGAAGGAAGGTTCCCCAAGAGGACTAGTCAGACTGCGGAGAATTAAAAAATATATGTTATAATTGATTCATTTGGATAGAAATTATTGTTGGGGTTAGGATACACTGCTGGAATTTCTTTGCTTTCATTGACTGATATCATCTCATTGCTTAAGGATGTAAATTACTAGAATAATAACGGTGTGGTAATGCTTTCATGCCAACAAAATAGCACAGCCTTTTTAAAATATTACATTCTAGAATTTTCCTTATCCATTAGATTTTATTATTAATTACTTGGATTTTGATTTGTCAGAAGATTGTGAACTCTGCTTTGTTCCTATATCTGACTTCTGTAGTGCCAGGGAGAAATTTTTTTTTAACAAATGTAAACCATTTCCTCAGAATTATTTTTGTTAGATGTGTTTACACAAAGACTCTCTGTGCTTTTGTCATAGCAAATCTTTTTGTAATCTGCCAGGGATGTAGACATAGAGCAGTCACCATTACACACTGATTAAGAAAAATTTATATATCGATAAGTCTATCTTATGATATGATGCAATTTTATTATGTTACATATTACATTTGTTAAAATACAGTTAAACTCTTGTTCTCATCTATTATTTAATATTGATGCATATGGCAGATATGTAATGAAAGTGGCTAATATTTGAAGGATATTGTACTCTACATATTTAATTAGTCTTTATCTTTGTGAAATGTATCAATATGATATTCAAAGACATCTCAATGATTAATAGAGAATTATACTTGAGTCAAGCCTTTTTGTAACCTAGAAATTAAAATGACTATTCAAATAACACCTCAAAATGATCAAATTAGCATTTTGTGATTGCATAATAATGGGATTGTAGTAGTTATAACGCACCATGGCTGCCTCTAGAGTTAAGATCATGTCAACCCCTTGATAATAAAGCCTTTTCCAGCAAGTCGACTTTAATAATTTCCAGATTGGTTCTTCCCATAAATCATCTGACATTCAGCACTAAATTTTTGTTACTGTTGTAACTTAAAATTATTTTATTTTTATTCTGCTCATATTTAAGAAATGAATTCCTGTTTTAATGATTTACCATCTTGTTGGTACTCCATGCTTTTTGCTTTAAATGTAAGGATTTTCCATGTAGTATTTTGATACACACACACACACACATTTTTAAAAAAAGATTTGTTGAAACCACTAAAATATATATATACATATTTACATATATATGTATATGCATATATATATTTTTTCCTTACAAATATTCACAGTGCTTTTCTTGGGAATAACACTTGCCTTATTTACATAATTAACTGAGTTGCTTAGGTCTCTTGGGCAAATTGGCACATAATTGGGGAGAGAAAGGGACAGGGAAGAGTTTGGGGTCTAATTAAATATGCTAAAAAACTACTTAATTATGTATTTCCTCAAGAGACTAGCTGCTGTGCAATCTTCTTTAAGATTAAACCAGAGTTCAGTTTGAGAAAAGGATTTTATTTTTGGTGTAGCTTTATAGTCGTTTTGCAGTTAAGCGTATCTAGGGTCCTTAGCAGTTTGTACAAACTGGATTATTTGTTCTAGTGAGTCTAAGCATAAGCATTACTTAGCTCTTGTGCTAAACTAAAGCAAATATTTTCAGCAATTTTTGGTTCAAGTAACTGGTTAATACATTGTAAAAAATTTGATTGTGGTTTGTTAATAAGTTTTTTAAGGCATGAAATTGAGAGAAAAATGCTAAATTGAGATTTGCACTTTGTTGTAGTTTTGACAGGTTTTTTGTTTTTTTGGTCAGGCTTATTATTACATTATTTCTTTGACAAACTGATGATGCTGTCTATAATTCGTCTTAGAGTCTCAGATTACTGTTTAGTGATCATTTGATAAAAGTTGAAGACAGGGTTACACGGTGGTATTAGGGGATGTTTTGATCAGAGGCGGCAAAACGAGGCTCAGCCATCTGCCTGAATTCTTTGACTTTGCTAAAAACAAAACCTCTGAATAGCCTCATTAAAAAAATAAAATATTCAGTCAGAAAATTTCTCGCGCCAGTCCTTCTGACTTGACTGTGTGGGGCGTGTTGGTTGTGTCCGGAGCTGCCTTGATGTGAAGGGGTAATGGGCTCTGCTGGTAGGCAGGAGGCACATGGGGCATTGTATAAAGTGTCCTGGAGTAGGTTGCCTGCCTATTTCTCCTCTTTTTTCAAATGAGATCATATTCTAAGAAGCGACTCTTAACTCTTGTTCTTTCATGCCTATCACTTACTTGAGAAGCTTTTGCTAGTATGTCATCACTATTCTAGTCAAACTGAGTTTGTATATATTATCATCATGATTAGAACATCAGAAGTCTAAGTACCTATTTCCTGCCAGTACACTTACTAAGAAACGGTACTGATTATAGTGTCATCTCAGTTTTTTTGCCAGCTCTCTGAACCTGTTTCTTTATCTCTGGAAAAAGATAGCATCACCAGGCCGATGACACCATCAAAAATAGTGCTAGAGCTGCCTGCCTCATAAGCGCAAGGTCCCAAGTTCGATCCCTGGTACCAAAAAAAAAAATAGTGCTAGAATAAAAAGCTCTGCATAATGAGAGGCAATATGGCGAATGAACTGTCCTATTCTATAGTAAGACCTCAGTTTATATCCTGATGACAACCCTTACGGCATGCTATCAGGCTAGTTATTTAAGCTCATGAAGCTTGAAGGGGAATCTGGTCATACTTCCCCAAAGTGTGGTACCATGGAGTAATGATTGTAAGCTGAAGAAATTGAGGAATAGCAGGAAGGATTCTCTGACTTTCCCCTGTTCAACTCCCCTGAAGCAGGCCACAAAGTCTTCATACCTGAGGGAAGGTAGAGGGACCGGAGAGGAATGTGAAAGAATGGGCCTTGCTAAATTTCCCCCAGTTGACTGTGCTTTCTTTTTATCCCCTTTCCCATCATATTTTCCAAATGCTTTCTACTCTGTGTTATGCATATAATAAAAACACTCAGGTTTAACTGTTTCCTGGAGTCTTTATTTCCTTAGGAAGGCTCTATGTCTTGTGAAATTTACATTAAATGAATTTGGATACTTTGCTCCTATTAATCTTTCTTGTTAATGAGACCCCAGCCAAGAATTTAGCAGAGTAGATGGAAAAGGTGGTTTTTTTTTCCCCTACAAGCTCTAGTCCTCCTGTGTGAAAGGAAGTGATGAGAGTGTCCTCCTTCTGAGAAGTAAATGAGGCGAGGCCCAGTTAGCAGGACACGTAGCACATAGGGAAGCACTCAGGAAATACCCCACTTCTGTCTCTGTCTAAAGGAGGGGCAGTGATGTCTGTTCTGAGCTTTATTAGGTTGTCAACAGGATTGAGTAAAGGAAAGTGCTCTTAAAACCAGGATTCTAGAATAGGGTCCTTAAATAGACAAGGTGTTAGGGTAGTCTTGGGGGCAACTGAGGAACCTAGTGGGATTTTGGCCCTCACTTCAAGTAGGAAGATTAAGACAAATAATTACTTTCTTTTATTTTAAATTTATTTTTATTTATTTATTTTGAGACAGGGTCTTGCTCTGTAGTTCACATTGGTCTTAAACTCACTATGTAGCCCAAGGTGGCCTTGAACTCGTGGTGATGTTCCTTCCTGTCTCAGCCTCCCGAGTGCTGGGCTTACAGTTGTGCACCACCATGCCTGGAGACTTTCTTTTATTTCTATATATTATTTTATTTATTTTTGGGCAGTGTCTTTTTTTAAAAACCAGTTGAGAAGGTAATTGGATATTAGTAGATGCTTGGCAATTTAATAAAATGTTAAGGGCCGGGGATTTATCTCAGTGGTGCTGCTGCCTGCCTGGCAAGCGCAAGGTCCTGAGTTCCATCTCTGGTAACAACAAAAAAAAAGTTAAATATTTTAC